ATCGGCTGTCTGCTCTTCCTGGATTCGTAAGTATACTGCATATATATATTTGGCACAGATGCATGTTTCACTTCCTGTTGTCAATTTATACATGACTTAGTATTATCAAACTGTTGGAAAACAATAGCATATCTGTAACACCTTGAAGCTATTTGGGTTTTACATTTTCTTATGCTCACTATGCAAACAATATTTCACAAGAAAATCTCTTAATATGTATTTGTTTTTGTAAATTCATGTGCTGCCTTAGTATGCAATATTTGAACTACAAAAGTCTTTTTTTTTTTTGTTAAATTTGTTTCCCATCCATCTAAGGTGGTAATAACATAATACACTTGAATGCTTGATTATCTTACAATACTTGCTATAATGACTTTACTGTGTTGTCAGGGGAACTAGTAGGTAGTCTCTCTAGCTCTTGCTTATTATGAAGCATATGGTGTCCACGCTTTACAGTCTACTGCACACTTTTCCCACCATATGCTTGTACAATTAACAGATCCATAATTGTGGCGGGGCGTTACATTTTTATCTTTTTAGATCAGGACAATCAGAAAAAGATTTTCTTACAAAAGCATCTTCATTTTCTTTATTTCCCTTCTGCTGGAATGTTTACCATGACAACTGTGCAAATGAATTTCCACCATCCTCCAATCTTTAACTGGCAAAAGCAGTCTGCATTGATGAAGCTATGTTTAGTTGGAAATTCACATTTTGTGTTACACGGTCATTTTCTTCTTGAGTCCATAAAGAATTTTTTGCTAGGGCTTCAATATTATCTGTTTCAGTGTTCCATGAAGAAATAAGCATGCTTCCCATAAACATTACCAAGTTTTTCTGGTCTTCATACTAATCCTATGTCATAACTGACGATCAATTATCCAAAATATTTTGTAGAACCATATTTGGATCATTTTCCAGCTGGATCAGGTCATATTGTTTGGTGGATTATGGAGAATAGACGAGAATATTTTGACCGCTCAAGCATTTTTTGTCTGAAGCCGGTGTGAATGATGCTGGCTTCTGTCAGATTCTCAGTCTAAACAGTGGTTAACTTGGTGTGAAGAAGAGAAGATTAAATTTTTAATACCGCCACAGCTAGTGCCTTTATCTGTTAATGATGAACTGGCCTTTATAGCCGGCCTACCATGCTCCCTTAATACTCGTGCATTAAGTGTTGAAATGATGATGGAAAAGAGGGACTCATTGAGAAGTGCTGTCCGCAAAGAAATGGGATTGACAGATAATGATATGCTTGTTATGTCATTAAGCAGTATAAACCCAGGAAAGGGCCAGCTTTTGCTTCTTGAAGCAGCATTTTTAGTGACTGAGCATAATGTTTTTCTAGAGGATCCTAAAAGGTATGAGTTAATGGAAGAGGATAAATTGCCTGGAGTTGCTCATCAAAATCAATCTATCAACCAGACCGACAAACCAGCAGATGGTCTCGAGAAAAGTAATTCTACACGCGTGAATTCTAAGAAAAAGAAGAAGACGAAACAGCATATTAAGACGCCAACGGACGGAGAACAGCGACAACCAAGAAACTTGTTGTCAGAAGTAGCAGGCCAGCAGGCAGAAACCCTCAAAGTTTTAATTGGTTCTATTGGATCGAAAAGCAATAAAGAGCTTTATCTCAAAGAAATTCTTGAATTTCTGTCTCTGCATTCAAACTCTTCAAAGGCGGTACTTTGGACACCAGCAACTGCATGTGTTGCTGCCCTGTATGCTGCTGCAGATGTTTATGTAATAAATGCCCAGGTGACTCTTCTTATGCACTAGTACTTTTCATTTCCTTTATGTTTTGACGTTTATTGTACATGTAAGAATAAATTAATTTTGTGATCTGCTGGTCTTTTAACATCTGTAAGTGCTTAAACTAATTCTTGTCATTCTCTGGAAGATGGTGATCACCTGTTCTCTAGGAAATCACATTAAGTTAAAATTTATGTACACCTATGGTCAGTTCACATCAGAGGAGAGATTTGCAGCTGTTTTGTATAAGTAAATTTGTATTCTTTTTTAAAGTTAACTGGTTGTGGAGCAGGAGGGATGAGTACAAAGGAGAGGATAAATTAAGGATGCATCTTACTTGTTAAGCACCTTTCTTTCTATCAACAACTCTGTGAAAAAGGTACAAAAAGAGACCAGGCCTTTCCTTCCGAATACGAAATTGGTGGGATAAAACCCCATATTCCCTTAAAATAAACTTCTAAAGGAACATAGTACAGCAAAATAATATGAAACTGAAGAGACAGAGAAAAGGATAGAGGAGAGGCTGATAATTGGAGAAGTATGAAATTTTAAATCTTCCACCAAAAGACTAATTTTTCTCAACTTCACTACTTCGAATACATTGTTTTAGATGCACTCACACAGATGTATTATTTGATAGAAGTAGGGGGTTATACTGGGCCACTTGCTTAGAGAAATAAGGTGATGGGTGATCTTTTAATCACATGATTGTATTGTGTTTTGTTTCTTCCTAATGAATGGGAGGGAATGATCACATAACTTTTTCCAAATATTGTGCATTTAATATTGTTTGTCTTGGAAGATATTTATCAATCAATTTCTTGATTATAGGGGATTGGAGAAACGTTTGGGAGGGTTACAGTTGAAGCTATGGCATTTGGCCTACCGGTATGACAAACTATTTTCTTTATTTCACATATTCACTGCTTATCCTCGTTTTGAATTTATTCTTGGTTGCTGAAGTAAAACAATTTATTTTCTACTGCTTTTGATGAGGAATGCACTATGATTTGAATATGCTAATCAATGTTAATCCGAATATATTTACAAGCTGTTACTCTTAAGCTACCTAGAGGTCCATTGTTTGACTTTCGTGTAATGTTTCATGAGTTCATTGTATCTTTTTTTTCCTTTTTAGTAATGATTCTATGACAAGACTGTAGATACTAGAGTGCATGTGGTGTACTAATGTCGCGTACTAATGTCGCTTCACATAGGTTAATTCTAGACAAGTAATGCTCAATAGCCAATACCAACTGAACTAATCTTGAGTTGAGTCTCTAAAAACAGAAAGTCAGTACACCTAAAATAAGTATGAAGAACACCCTTAGGTGTCGTTTGTCAAGGTGTTCAGAGAGAAGGGTTAAGGATAAGGGTTAACTTAGCTAACCCATTATGAGGGGTTAAATATTTTGTGCTTCCATTTGGATTAGGTAATTAGCATGAAAGGTCAACTTTTTTGTGTTTGGTAAATAAACAAGGTTTAAGAAGGTTAAACCAGTCAAAATTTGTGGTAATACCAACTTTAACCTTATCAAAAGTAGGAAATCATTCTAATAACTATTATATTAAAATAAATTAACGAGAATTTTCATTTATCCGGATCATGTAAGTATTGTTCTAAAATGCGGATTAAGCTCTCGCTTAAACTCCCGCTTATGTCTAAGCAGGTTGGAACCGCTCCGATAAGGAAAAAAGTGCTTCATTATGCGGTCATCCGCATAATCAGACACATTTTTAGTAAGCGTCCAGATAATCAGGTGCATTTTAGTAGTGGGTGCTTTTCTTTTAAATCCTTTCGAGGTTAAACCTGTTTACCACAACCCGACTGAACACTAAAGTTAAAAAAAACTTAAGTTTTCCCAAAGTTCTGTTACTCTATATTCTCTCTCTTGTTTGAACCTAATGGCCGCAAATACCTCTGCCATTTTTCGACGCTTTGCTCAACCTAGGGTCACTCGTGGAAACTCACTAGAAGATTGTCGGACATCCAACGCTCTCCCTACAAGCTCTCTGACGATCACCTCGAAGCTCTCTAGCGAAATAGATTAGTTGAAGCTTTTAAGTACATTTTCTGTTTTTTCATGACTTAATATATTTTGAAATATGACAAATAATAAATATATATTAGAAATTTAAAAATGTATAATTCCACATTGAGATTTTTATTGTTTGGGAGGTTCACGAAAGGTTAAACCGTCTTTTGCCAAACAGGGGTTTAAAGAGACAAGAAAGTCTACACATTCATAGAATTTCAGAAAATTTTATGTCAAATTCAACACTTGGGGTTATGATGGATTATCTACCTGTGTTATAACCAAAATATTTAGCATCTTTTAGGATCAAGTAGCTAAGTTAGATGTGTTTGTATGAATGTACTTTGACCATAGCTTAGGTTAGTGTAATGACATAAATTGCCACATTACATATCCAATGTTTTTCGGATTTTATTTAATCCCATTTTCATCTGATAAAACAATATAAATCAAATTTCTATACTAAATGTTTTAATATTATTGCTTTTCTCGTTGTTCAGGTCCTCGGGACCGATGCTGGAGGCACTCGGGAGATTGTAGATCACAAAGTAACGGGCCTTCTACATCCCATTGGACATGAAGGAACCAAGACTCTTGCCCAGCACATCCAGTATTTACTTAACAACCCATCGGCAAGGAAAAAGATGGGAAAGAATGGAAGGAATAAAGTGCAGGAGAAGTACTTGAAGCATCACACTTATGAGAGCTTCGCTAAGGTCCTCTTCAAGAGCATGAGGCCCAGATAGATGGCATTTTTTGCACTAAAATTTTCGGGCTGTTTTAGGTTTGAGATTGAGCAAATTTTGAGCTGCGTGGCATTGAATTCAAAGACATTCATTGTAGCTGCATCTGGTCCTTTAACTATACCCGAAGAGGTGTTGTGGAATCTATTCTGTCAAAGCTACCAATTCTCACCATTCGCTTCCCATTTATACTGAAGCTCTCCTCATGTCACACAGAAGAGCAGCAAACACCAATTGAAGTCAATTACTTCTTCAATACTGAGCAAGAAAATTTTACGCCGGTGTATTATTTAGGTGAAAAAACACTATTTTTAACTGGTGAGCATTTGCAGGAAAAAGATACAGGTGAAAGCTTAAAAAAAAACATTTATGTACACAATTTGCAACCCAAAAAGAAAGTAGGCGAGACTCTCCTCCTGCCCGAACCTCATGCTCCGACTCCACGTATAGAGCCTCTGATCACCTAAGTATATAAACATCCACAAAATCATCGTGTGATATTTGTATTATAACTCAAGAAACTTTAAATATCATCTTCATCACTCAATTCTTCTTCTTCGTTGTCTTCTTCTTCTTCTGCTTGCTCCTTGGATTCCTTCATTACTTCAGCAATCATAAGAGCCACCGTGGCTTTATGAACAGCGAGATCAGCCTTGTGCATCAACCACTGAACTTTCTCTCGCTTCATCTTTGCCATGTTCAATGCATGCTGAGCTGCATTTGATGCATCTCGTAGCTTAAACTCATCGATATCAGCTCGGTGCCTTCGAAGCCCATCTCTCTGGATCTGACTCATATTGGCAGGTTCGTATATTCCAGAAGAACCCCATTGATCTATACCATTTTTCTTTAGTTTTTTATTCTGCGGAAAAGGCATTATATGAGAATCCCTAGGTGATGAGAAGGATCCTCTCTTCTTCGAATTACTCCTGTGAAGTTCTGGATACTGAATTCTCTCTGAGCCTTCGTTTGAATGGTAAGAATCCGAAGATTCGTAGTTCGGAATACTGATAAAAGCTCTATCATCTCTTCTACCTGATGGTACCATTAAACTAGATTTGTGAATAAAAAGATAAAAAGACACAAACTCAAACTTAAGGAGATAAAAGACATACCGGAAGAATAAAACCCGTCCTGCTCTCTCCCAAAGGCATTGTAGCTCGATGTTGAAATCAACTTCTTATGAGACCTCTGCTTCAATAATTTGTGTGGTACTTCCAACCCCCGCGGTCTTAAACAGAATGCAAACATAGGAGGTTTTTTGATTCGGCATTGTTTCTCCCGAGACACATCAGGTAAGCTGTGAACCTTGCTCATAGCAGATTCCCACTCCTTTAGCTGTTGTTGGTATCGTAACCACAATGCAGGCTGAATAAAGGAAAAGGATAGCCAGAAATTTTGAGAACAGTTGTAGGAATCAAAGTTTCAAAAAAATATTGGTGCATTAGTGAAGCAAATAAGTAATTGTTCTGTTAATATTGCAACATTTGGTTAGCAACTGTTAGCCGGAATTGGTAACTCGATGTTCACTTCGTAGAAAAAACTGCATCTGCAATTCCTTGTCGTAAACAAAATAATAAAATTGATATAATGTTATCCAGTTACCCAAGTACAACTCACAATGTGAATCAATTTACACTCGCAGCTAAACGAACACTTCAACTGCAATGCAATGAAACAGAAGCTGCAGATCCAACCGATTTTATGGATAACTAAACATTGGATTTGCATCTGGAATGCATCTCCTACAACAAAAGTATATATAACAAAGAACGAGTTTGAGGTTAATGTCCTTAAATAAACATTGCATGCAGCATTTTCTGTGTGAGACATTTGTTGCATTTTACAATTGCAGACAACCCTAAAAGTGGTTTAGCGGTCCATGTAGCTAACCTATCAAACAGCAGACATACATGGGTGACAAGGTCAAAGAAAATTATTAAGCATTATTTCCTTATTCCAACCCAAAATTCTACCATCATTTCTTTGATGCATTTGATTCCAATGTGTATTAGCTATTCCCAGACTTCCAGAATATTATAAGCCAAATCATCAATTGTTGGCGTTATCATGAAAAATTTGATGCTTCTGAGACAAAATTTTCCGCAATAGTGAAAGAACAAGATCCCAAACGGTTAGTTGCTCTGGATGTACATCAGAGGAACTAATGGACTACCTGGACTATCTCCATGCAGACACAGGATGAACTAAAAGAAAATTCGGAAGGAAATCTAATTTCAGTATCTATTATAGTATGTCAGATATGGGACAAACTTAAAAGACTGACAATGGCAGATATGCCTTTTAACAGTCATATTAAAGTGAGACAAAGGTAACTGTTGTAAAAATAAGATAGGTACTGCAATTTATAACGTTAAAAAGTGGAGAACATAAGTGACTCGTAGGAAACAATAAGGAAGAAGAGTGACCACCTGAAAGTGTCGAATCAGAGCCATACCCTTTTTCATCCTCTTTTCATGCCAGTAGCCATATATAGTTTTAACAATGTTAAGTGGACCAACGTCATCCATAAATTCTTCTATTTCATCATTGCTAAATTCATCGCACTCTTCAGCATATGCAAATTTCTCAAAGATGTCCATAACCCTTTCAAACATGTCATCGCTCATCTCAGAAATGTCATCCTCCTTCATATCCACAGAATTTCTCATTTTCAATACCCACTCCTCATCATCACTGTCCATGTCATATAGAACATGGGCTGGATCCAAAGCCATATCAACCTCAGTCCCTACCTGCCGATGGTACTTGAGTGAACTACGAACAAAAGGCACTCCAACTAAATTGTCGCAGTCATCATCTGCTATCAGTCGAACGCCAGGGATTGGGATGTTTTTTACATAAGCAGCCCTCATGTTGCGATTGTAACATTCTTCGTGAATTTCTTTGAAAAGAGACCACTGGCTCCGATCTGTAAATTCTAATGCCCAATCCTTTCCTCCTTTCCACATCATGGCATGTGTGTGGCGATTTGTTATTCCAGGCTGCAAAATATGCTGAGCTTTGTAAACATATTTGGTAACACCTGAAAATTTTACCAATATCCTACAATCCTTATGATCATCAGACTCAAGTACAACCTGGGCTCCACTTTCCCTCCAACCTTTGTCCCCTACAGTAACAAGGACATTTGCATTACAGGCCAAAGGCCGATGACATCTTGTAGAATTAGCTGAAGCACCTGATAGCCTTTTTGCATTATCAGTAGTGATCTTTTTGAGGGGTCGTGGTTTCCGCTGCTGACTTCGGCGTTTCCAGCCGAGATCATATCCTCCAAATGGCAATGAATATGAAACGTGGGTACGAGGCTTTTTGGAGCCATGGACAAAGCCATTCATCGAAAAATCCTCCTGCCACAACTGACCATATTTTGATGAGACTAAGCTGCGTCCATTACAGTGTCGTACGCTCCGTGGAGCGGTCGGATTACTGTGGATAGAATATCCATTCCTTTCCCAGGCCAAATCCAATGCAGACTCTTCAGCTAGTGTGCCCTTATCAATTGGTTGTTCTTCTATTTGACCAACTGATTGGGCATGGACATTGATATCATTCATAGAAGAATTGCAACCTCCTTCAGACTTGTCTGGAGATGAATAACCTTCAGGAAATGACGAACTTGACTTATCAGCATCCTGCCACAACCCTGTATGGCTTGGTAACCTTTCAGTTCTAGCGACTGTCTCTTCGCTTCCATTCAGCTCCATATCTCGCTGATCTACAAAATTTCTGCTGAGGTCGACTTCATTTCTGAGAGAATTGTCAGAGGATCTCGTTGAATCACCTTCATTGCTCACAGAGAGAGCATCGGTATCTACCTTTAGATGATGAATAGATGGCTTCCTGGAACTAGCAATAACCTGGCCCAATGAAGACCCCAAATTCTCCATTGTAATATCTGAAACTTGTTCAGACGGATCCTCGGAAGGAGAGCAGCCATTGACAGTCAACTTGTCACAGCTATCAGGAGATTCTTGATAAGACCTTGAGTTATGCTTCAGAGAGCTAATAGAAGCTTTGTTGTTTTGAATTAATGACTTGATGTGAAGGCTCAGAATAAATGAAGGTGCTGTGACAAAAGAAGGTGAAACTGAAGGAAGCTGTCTGATGTTGTCACCAATATAACAAATAGTAGGGTTCATCTTCAAGTAGAATCTTTTATTAGGGATGATTTGATGTAAAATGTCTGAATTAGACCTCTCTGGCAAATTCTGAAGATTAAAGGAACAAAATAAAGTCAGGTCAATTCAAGCATGTAATTCGAAACCTAACTATTCAAATTACTCTATAACTGGTCAAAAGGAATTTCAACATTTCATAAACTACTGTTGTCTCCCTTAATAAATACCCCATAGTATCATGACATGCATTTCTAACTGAAAATGTGCTCCTAAAATCAGTAGCTATGAAAATAGCCCAAAGGCAATTTAACATCTTATAATATAAAAACCACCACCTGATTGGTATCACAAGGTACACAAGTTAATAAAAAACCATAAAATTGAATAAATTTAAGTGTTATGTGCCACTCTGTGGAGTCTAACATCTCCTCAAACTTTGTTCACAAAGACATAATCTTCCAGGATAATTCTTTTTCCTTAAAATATTTGTTTTAGTATGCTAATGTTATTATACAATCATTAGACCTTTAGACTCCTACTAAGTTACACTACTGCAAGTTTTGCACTATCTGCATAATGGATTAATTATAAGTGTTAATGATAAAACAAGTCCTCTTTTGCAGAGAACAATCCAAACTGAGGCAACCTGTCCCTAAAACAAGTACTATTCTACAATAAATCAATAATTATCAGCTAACTATTACTAGATATGAAAGATAAGTCACAGCTTAATTAGTAATAGTTTCCCATATTTAAATTGCAGAGTAACAGAAGTCAAGCAAATTTAGAGTCAAAATGCAACCATAAATGATGATTTTCTTGGATAGGTATCTTATTAGGACCAAAAACACTGTTAAATGTATTTCCTTTCTGTTGTGATATTCCAGAAACAAAAGCAGTTCAGTCAGAAACACTTCCCAACTAGTTCTGGTCCCTTCTGGCTAACCATTTTTTATGCAATCGTTTCCTACTATCTCATGCATGCACCTGATTCTTTAATA